GCCATTCGTTGTACCCTTCACCGGGCCCCTGGTGTTACAAAAATCCCATCTCCTTTGCTGCCTCTGGCTTGACCGACCCGGCCACAATCTCCATCTGTTCCCCTCCAAATGTCAGGAGATGCAACGGGAGAGAAATAGGGGGCAGGTGTGGGTGAGAGGAAAGAGAGGAAAACAGACACTGGAATGTCTGCCGGATTGATTACTTAAATACAACGCAGCAAATATATGGATTATTTATTTCAGTCAACTGATGGTGTCCTCTCTTAAACTTCAGTTTATTTCAATGCCTTCTTGTGGCTCTTAATTTTCAAATAATAAATCTGGTGTTAATCTATATTGAAAAAAACAAAACCAACTGTATTAATCCGTCTCTCTCCCCACCCTGTCAGAGGCATCAGCACCAAGCCCATTTGTTCCTACTGGACTAGGAAATCTTTAGAAATGATGCATGTATACATCGCTTTATCGAGGCTCAGTAATTTCCTAAAATAGCCAGGCACTGTAGTTTGTTTTCTTTTGCGAACGTTAGTCAAACAGGAGCTGTGGATTAGCACACATTTGGCGCTCTAGTGAGTATTTACAGCAGCAGGACGTGTTTGTGGGACTGACTCAAAATAAACTACAGTGCCAACATTCACGCTAATGAAGGCACATGTCACCCTGTGCAGCGGCGTGGCTCACTGATGTGTTTTTAATCATTTTCTTTGGTCTGTGGCACAGAGAAATGGGTGGTGTCTGGATGGTAACCCCAGATTTACAATAAGTCACACATATTCCATGTTTCAAGTGATCATTTTAACCCAAACAATATCTTTTTCCAAGTATGTTTTATGCTTAAACCTGGCCAGACCTTAACCACAGCACTGTGACACTATAAACAGAGATGCAGGAATATTCTGAAGCAGCTCACGAGTTTTGCAAATCCATCTATCTACTACCGAAGAAGTGATATCAGGCTTTGGATGGCAAGAAAATGTTGGTTTTGGTCTCTTCATAGGATTTGTTGACACAAAATATAGAATATCAGCAGATATATCCATTGAACAGACTAAGTCAACAGCCATGCTAACGGCTCACTGAAGCTGTATTTAGGTGCTTTAAGCTAAATGCTAACATCAACATGCTAGCATGCTCACAATGCCAATGCTGACATGTTGATGTTAAACAGATGTAATGTCTGCTGTCATAGGTGTATGACAATACACAATATTCCCCCCCCCCCCCCCAAATAAAATCATGAAAGTAGCAGATTAAACAGATTAAGTGTGCTAAGTGCTAGTTAAGTGCTCAAATTTTTCTGGCAGAGGACCCCCAGGTAACTGTTTCATCTCCCCCCGGATGTTGAAACAAAACCTACGCTCTTGTTTCCTGTATTCTGCCATTTTATCATTAGCATGCTGGCAACTAATTAGCACTAAAATTACAGCTGAGGCTGGGGACAGTGTCACTATTTTTGTATGTACAGTACAGGCCAAAAGTTTGGACACACCTTCTCATTCAATGCGTTTTCTTTATTTTCATGACTATTTACATTGTAGATTCTCACTGAAGGCATCAGAACTATGAATGAACACATGTGGAGTTATGTACTTAACAAAAAAAGGTGAAATAACTGAAAACATGTTTTATATTCTAGTTTCTTCAAAATAGCCACCCTTTGCTCTGATTACTGCTTTGCACACTCTTGGCATTCTCTCCATGAGCTTCAAGAGGTAGTCACCTGAAATGGTTTCCACTTCACAGGTGTGCCTTATCAGGGTTAATTAGTGGAATTTCTTGCTTTATCAATGGGGTTGGGACCATCAGTTGTGTTGTGCAGAAGTCAGGTTAATACACAGCCGACAGCCCTATTGGACAACTGTTAAAATTCATATTATGGCAAGAACCAATCAGCTAACTAAAGAAAAACGAGTGGCCATCATTACTTTAAGAAATGAAGGTCAGTCAGTCCGGAAAATTGCAAAAACTTTAAATGTGTCCCCAAGTGGAGTCGCAAAAACCATCAAGCGCTACAACGAAACTGGCACACATGAGGACCGACCCAGGAAAGGAAGACCAAGAGTCACCTCTGCTTCTGAGGATAAGTTCATCCGAGTCACCAGCCTCAGAAATCGCGAGTTAACAGCAGCTCAGATCAGAGACCAGATGAATGCCACACAGAGTTCTAGCAGCAGACCCATCTCTAGAACAACTGTTAAGAGGAGACTGCGCGAATCAGGCCTTCATGGTCAAATAGCTGCTAGGAAACCACTGCTAAGGAGAGGCAACAAGCAGAAGAGATTTGTTTGGGCCAAGAAACACAAGGAATGGACATTAGACCAGTGGAAATCTGTGCTTTGGTCTGATGAGTCCAAATTTGAGATCTTTGGTTCCAACCGCCGTGTCTTTGTGAGACGCAGAAAAGGTGAACGGATGGATTCCACATGCCTGGTTCCCACTGTGAAGCATGGAGGAGGAGGTGTGATGGTGTGGGGGTGTTTTGCTGGTGACACTGTTGGGGATTTATTCAAAATTGAAGGCACACTGAACCAGCATGGCTACCACAGCATCCTGCAGCGACATGCCATCCCATCCGGTTTGCGTTTAGTTGGACGATCATTTATTTTTCAACAGGACAATGACCCCAAACACACCTCCAGGCTGTGTAAGGGTTATTTGACCAAGAAGGAGAGTGATGGAGTGCTGCGGCAGATGACCTGGCCTCCACAGTCACCGGACCTGAACCCAATCGAGATGGTTTGGGGTGAGCTGGACCGCAGAGTGAAGGCAAAGGGGCCAACAAGTGCTAAACACCTCTGGGAACTCCTTCAAGACTGTTGGAAAACCATTTCAGGTGACTACCTCTTGAAGCTCATGGAGAGAATGCCAAGAGTGTGCAAAGCAGTAATCAGAGCAAAGGGTGGCTATTTTGAAGAAACTAGAATATAAAACATGTTTTCAGTTATTTCACCTTTTTTTGTTAAGTACATAACTCCACATGTGTTCATTCATAGTTTTGATGCCTTCAGTGAGAATCTACAATGTAAATAGTCATGAAAATAAAGAAAACGCATTGAATGAGAAGGTGTGTCCAAACTTTTGGCCTGTACTGTATTTGGTCAAAAAACAAAGTATTGGACAAACTGAGTGGTTCCCAAACTGAGGGTCAGGACTCCCTCAGGGGACAGCAAAATAAATTTGATGGGGTTGTCACAAATGACTTTATCAGGACTTTAACAAGGTTCATAGGACAGTCATAAGACAGAGGAGTGCGAGAACCATTGTGGTTATTCAGTGTGAAAATGGTACCTTTGAAATGCAGTAGGTTAGATGACTAGTTACCTTTTTAACATGTAATGAGTAATGTAACTATTTTAATCACTTAATCAAAGTAATGTAACGTATTACATTCGATTACTTTTTGATTAGGCTACCTTTCTAACAAATGCTTTAAACCTGGCAATAAAGCTGAAAAATATCTGGAGTTATACTACCACAAGAAGGCCTTTTGTAATCGCCAACATATTAATTAGTAACCGCAATTTTTCTCAGTAACTGCAACTGATTAAAAATACATTTATTTTGTAATTTAATTACATCTAACTAGTTACTCCCTTAGGCTGGTTATTACAATTCATCCTGGCAGGAACATGAATTCTGCACCACATTTTATTGCACTCCATCCAATAGTTGTCTAGACGTTTTACTCAGAACCAAAGATGTGGTTGAACTGATGGCGGCACTAAAGTAAACGTCAGGGGGGACACCAAAGTCAGTATCATCCTCTGGGGACCATGAATATTTGTAATCCATTGAACAGTTGCTGACATAATTCAGCCTGGATTAAAGTCTTGGACCGACTGATCCCTGGAGCCAATTTGGTTGCGTGGCTAAAATGTTTCTGATTTGTCTTTAATGCACACCATCATAATCAAAGCCAGCTCTTGGCAGCTTACACTGTATATACTTTCCTGATGGTCATGCTGTATGTGGGGGGGATAGTTGAAAGCAAACATCTCTACTGGCACCAGATGGTAAACAGTAGTGATATGTGTTTAGGGTTTGGATGACAGCATAGAGGCAGCGCAGAGTCTCAGAGACACAGTGAACCAGCAGTAAACAAACAGATATAGTGCTACAGAGACTTATTATTCAGTGGAACGGCCATCTTGAGAACAAAGTGTCAATTTTTTTTATCCACAGGGGCCACAAAACCAGAGATCAGAGTCTGCAATGGTCACGTCTTTGCTATAAGATGCTTTAATTACAAGTGGGAGACTCTGTGGGAGTTTATTGTCAAAATGCTACGGCACAATAGATTCTCTCTGCGTGAAATTCAGATGTTTTATAGCTACAGTCATGGTTAGATTTTACATTGAAGCACTGGCTGCAGTATAAATTCTGGTATCACAGGATTCAAACTCACTGATGCCAATTTGACTACAATCAAGATGACTGATTTTCTCTTGGCTTAACATAAAATGAATAAATCCCTCCTGACTCTGTATCTCTATAAGCCCACAAAGATCAACGCTCTATACTTTCCCATATGTGCCTCTGGATTTACTAGATCCTCCCTGCACAGCCGATCTCCCCAGAAATTAAGAAGAAACAATGGAAGCTCTTTATCTCGTGGAAACATTTATCCAAGGACAATATATGTTAATTGAGTACGCTTACAGAATACATTTTTTCATATTGCTTATTTTAATATAAAGTTTTGTATAAAGTCTCATTTGTATGCTGGAAACCTGGCTGTTTGCTGCGGCACACAAACCGAGTTCAAATTAGGAATACATTAGTGTTGGTACTAAAATTACCGTTATTTCAGATGGATACGACAGGGGCATAAAAACGCTCTCCGCCATGTTCACGGTGGCCTGGCTCTGACAGCGCTCAGAATATTTAATGCCTCTACGCTGGCACTCAAATTTCTCCTCTCTTTTCATGTTTACCCTTTAACGAGGCTGTGGGAGGTTCAATCAGATCATGACTGACATAACAAGACAAAAAACATTGAATTATCTCCAGAGCAGTGACAACATGTCTTTATTCAAACATCCATCACATTTCATCATGAATCAGAACAATCAAGAAGTAGAAAAAAAGAAAACATGTACAAAATAAGTAACATTGTGTGTGCTGCTTTTCTTTTAGCATCTGGTTACTTCCTGTTGTGACCCCAGAGGGAGCCTCGACGGTGACAAAGGGACACACAAACGTCCCCCCCAGCTGTTTCCTCCACTCCAGAGGATCACCTCCGGACAGATGAGAGGATCCAAACAAGCTATGGATCTCAGTGAGTAATCCGACCACAGAACCAAATCAGCACAATCCTTGAATCTGAAATCAATCCCCTCCTGAATCCATCTCATGGACACTTGTGTGGATCTAAGATTGGATCAATGTAGGGGAGATAAAGGGGGTCCTTGTTGCTATATAAAGGAGCATGTACTTCTGAAACGTGCACAATGCTCTGGCTGATCCACACACGTGCCACTGGAGGATGAAAGCAGAAGGTTCAAGAGGGGCTCAGGAATATGTGAGGGCAGCTCTTTGCCATATATACTATGATCCAAATGTCTGTGCACAACTTATATTTGAGGTTTTTTGGGTTAAACCTGAAACAGTGTAACAGTGAACTCACTGAAATATCATTCTGCTGCAGGTGTCTAATTAAAATGACCACGATAAAGGTAATTTCAAATAAGATAATAATCATTTATACCTATATCACATTTTCTCCACAATGAATTCACAAGGACACTGTTTGAGATTTATCCCAAAATGCATATCTTTCTCTTACGAAGCTGCTATCTGCTCTATTACAAGTATCCCTTCTGGCAAAAACCGAAACACAACAAAACAAAAAAAAAAGATCACAAGAGGTACCAATGGGTGATTTAGGGGATAAAATGAGTGCTTACAGTTATCTAGAACAGATGAATACCAACAGACAGAGAGCGAGGAGCTCAGCCCAGAACAGAACAGGACTGGGGAAAATGTAATTGTTTATGTGTGCGCGCGATGACGCTATTGGAGATTATTCACTTTTCTCTCAGGATTACACGAGATGGATAAATCTCTCCCTACTCTAAATGTGTTATCTATACTCAACAAGCCCCCAGACACCAATCCTCTATACATTCACATACGTCCCCAGTGGATCAGGACAGATTTGCTCTCAGCAGATCTCTCAGCCTTAGACTCTAAGAAACAACTATGGAAGCACTTTATCTTATGGCAGATTTTTAACTGGGACATTATGTAGTAAAAAATATAAACACTCGCTGTATTTTTTTTGTTGTTGTCTCGAGCAGCATTTCAAATCCGTTGTATAAACACACCAGGTAATTAATGTACCAACAATATCAGTATCATCCTACTTTAATTTTAACTCCCACTAATCCATCCTTCATTGACGACCGAGCTGAAACACAGAGGCCGGTCTCAGAGCTCAGAACATGACCAGAGCCAAGTCACACTTCTGACCAATTACAGCTCGTCATGTCGTGTCCGTCCAATGGCGGTCAGTTTGGAGAGTTGAGCACTGAACTTTCCATCTCTGTGGGTCACTGGAGGTCAGAGAGGACAGAGCAAATTACCGTCACAAACAATATTAAAATAGCAACAAGGACACGGTATCATTGACGCAAAGCCCCTGAAACCAGCCAGCATCATCTAACAACAAAGGCAGCAGTTTGAGACCTGCAGGTCCAGTTCGACCTGCACTGCCTGTTGGCATGGAAAGTTAATGACAGCAGCAGCAAATTAGATCTGCAGATGCAGATGTGCACCATCTACAGGTAAGGACAGTAATAGCTGCTGCGATTCGGACAGTAGAGCCACCTGCGGGCAACGAGTGTTACAACTGCAATTTCATTTCTCCCTCGTCCTGTAGCTGCTGCTTGTGCTTTTATATTTCACATATAAAACCTAAAAAATGTAATAGTTTTGTTCACTAGAGCATATTTTCTGCTGAATAAGGAAGACCTTGGAGTTCATCCTGCTCACAGTGGATTTGCTGTCCTCCAGATTACTCTGAAGGAAGGTGGTGATTCATGGTTCACTGTCGACTCTAAAGAAACAGGTGTGGTGTGCAGAGGGTCAAAGGAAGCATTAAAGGAAACTTTGCATTGCACTTGAGGTTGATTTTATTGTGTTTTTAGTGTTGAATATTTGAACATTAAAGTGTTGCTTTAATGACTCAAATAAATCTGTTGTTTATTAGTAGGTTTCATCTGTCTGATCTCTGTTAGTCTCTATAAACAGATATCTGCATATGTTAGCAAAATCTGTCAGACAAAGGACTAGACTTTGGTATCAAAAGTGTTCTGGGTTTTGTTTGTACTCTGTTTGTGGTTGGAATAGCATTGGCCAGTCACGTTTTAGTGGGTTTTGGTTGCATGCTTGTGAACAGTCCATGAGGAAAGCAAAAGAGGCAAACACACTGGCCGAAATGCAATCTCAGAACCTGAATAAGCTTTATATTTGCCTTTTTGTATTTACCGAGTTCCTGCACATTCTTAAACATCAAATTGAAGGACTTTTCAAGGAATTTCCAAACCCAACTCCCTCAAACTCAAGGACCCAGCATGGCATAGTTTAAGACGCGGATCAAGGTTAATTACTGTTCTAACACTGAGAATATTTATAATGAGATTTAGCAGGCTTCACAGAAGCTCACAGACAACAAGAGAGTGAGGCTTGAATGTGTGAACACTTCCCAACTGTGCTGTGTTACAGTGATGGTGCACAAAATCAAAAGAACTTCAATTTTTGTGCATGCACAAATTAAATAAATTCAAGCACTTTTAATGGCCCATGTCTATCTACGTATATTTTTAGAGCTGTACCTGACACAGAATTATGTCAAACCAATCGGATGTGGTCTTTCAATACAAAGATTGGACTCATTGTTCCATTTTTTCCATAAAAAGTTTGAAGAGAGTTTGAAGTCAAGAGTCAAGTGGGACGTTCAGGGCGACAGCAAATATCGTGAACAAGCAAAGTTAGCCCACTGAGCTGCTGCGTGCTAATGATGCTAATGCTAACAAAGGAAATGTGCAACAATATTATTTTCTGACACTAGATATCAACAAAAAGCCAAAGACTGTCTGCGAGCTGTAAATTCACCACGGTAGCGTTATCTCAGGCAGCTGCCTCTATCTCTATCAGACTCACCTTGGGTCTGGGTCTGCAGCTGCCTGTAACGGAGAGCAGCATGAAAGCGAGAAGCACTCACTCTGCAGCTCAATCTGGGGACTGAAATGTACCCAGAAGTACACTGACTAACAAAATCCAATCAAAACAACTGCTTGACTTGAGTCGACCGAGACGTCTCCAACTGATGATCCAAATCTTTGACTTTCACGGGACAGCCCTATCTATTTTCCAAAACTTTCAATGCCTTGAGTTTTTCCCTCAAATTTGGAAACTTCTAAGAGTTTCAGGGACATGGGGGAACGCTGCATTTATATGCAGTTATCTGTTTATGGAGAGTAGTGCACTATCAACTTCATTCTAGCGTCACAAGTTACTAATCGGACTGGAAACCATGACCAGCTCATATCAGATATCCATTATCTGGATATCCACTCGGTACTCCAGAACCCCCCAAAATAGTCTTTTGCCCACAGAGACTATATTGTTGTCAGACTGATAGCCGATGGGTTCCAAGATTTGATGTTCATTCTGTTTCCCAGATAATTTGCATTTGACTGCCACAAGCTGAATTGTATTTGTATTTGTAATCCATCCTTATAATTTATACGTAGTAAAACTTCAAAGACAAAGCACATCAGCAGCTGAAACAATCTCATTGCCTGCAGGTGGCACAAATGATAAAACTGCGAACACAATTTTGCCTGTAGGTGTCGACATTTCTGGATATCTGCAGGTCTAAACTGCAGTGACTTTTCTCTCCTGTAGGTGGTGCAGGTTGGCATATAAAAACTGGTCTGGTGAATGGTTCCCCCTTATGGACAATCTTAAGCCGGCTCACTGTGAACATTTCAATGAACTGGCCTGAAACTCACTCACAAACTTGTTTTACATCTAAAACAGTGATTTACCTGCTATACTACTGTTAAGGACTTTATCCCTATGAATCATGACTGGAAGTGTTTCCCAGAGGTCTCACAGGGATGGGATTATCCTAAAGTCTGTGATAGTTGCTGGAAATTGAGTCTATAAGCCTCTGTACTGTTGCGTCTAATCTGCTGTTACAGTAAATTGCTGTGTGACTTGTCAAATCCTGCTAATCACAGTCCGGAACTGGAGCCACAGTGGGGATTTGTGAGGAAAATGAATAACAACAAATAATGCTACAGGGACAAATGGCAACCCACTCACAGCTGGAGCATATGCTTCAGAGGGAAATCAGCAGGGAACTTGCAACGTGATGGAGAGGAGGTAGGGAGCGAGAGATTGACGTGACGTGCAGAGGGAGTTGATTGAACACTTGGAAATACAATCAGTTTCTCACCTGTTGAGTCTCCTACGATAAATTCCTCCGGCTTCAAAGGCACGTCACTCTGTCCTGCGCCCGCTGTCTGAGACTGGATACAGCAAAGAGCAGCAGGGATAAAGAGAAGGAGGAAGAAAAGAAAGAAGGGGAAAAGGAAGGAAATAAACAAAAACAGGATGAGAGGCGGCACAGGAGACAATTTTTTTGCAACAGACGGGCCGGGAGAGTAGGAGGATGTGGCGACAAGGTCAAGGAGATTGTGTGCGGGGGTGGCAGGTGTGTTTGTTTGTGTATGTGAGGTTATTTTCATCTCATCATTTAGTTGAAGTTATTTTCTGTGTGTGTGTGTCTCTTCTGCTTGCAGGGCACGGAGCCAGAGCAGGAGGAGGAAACATGTGCTCTCACTAATGACAGAGTGTCAGGACTGCCCTTGCTGGGGGAAGGAGGCGTGTCAAGGTGTGTGCTTCACTTCGCAGACGGCCACATCAGACACGGCAGACCTCCGCTAAGTGACTGAGCTCAGGAAGAGTCCAGATATTAACCTTCCATGAAACATTATGTGTGCAGACATGTCGACGAGTTTGACTTCCAGGAAAAATAAAGCTTTTCTGTTACTTTGACCGTCTCCGCCTGTGTTGGTTTGTCAAAGTCAGTGCTAGCTGGGATGTAGCTACAACCATCATTAGAGGACAATGGATCTAAAAATGTACAGCGACTTGTGGAGCAAATGATGGGTTTCCATGGATACATAAGCATTAGTGGAGGGGATGTGCAGTAAAGCAAGAATCAGGTCCAAAGTGCAAGTGATAGCGTGTTTTAGGACTGTGTGGCTGGGTACATTCAGCGATGTCGTGGCTCTCAGATGATGTTAGGTGACATTTAATCTTGAGTAGCCTGACCTTTGTATCTAATGAAGGTCTGGAGAAAACCTCAGTTTAATCACCCTGGGGAAAAAAACTTAAAGATCCTGAAGCAGCCACTTCATAGGTTATGAGTTTGGTAATAGTCATTCATGGAAACAGCACCTCTGGTTGATTGTGGTGCAGTAAAATGAGTTGTCCATAGCGTTCCATTGACGATTTAAAGCACTAGAATGGCAAACTGTCAACACTTTTTCTAACCGATGCAATTTTAAGACCCCAACCTCGGCAACTTGGCAACATTTTCGCCACTTTGGGCTATTTCTGCTCCAGTAAGGAGTCTTAAAACCTCAAAATGAGTTAGCATTTTACTACTCACGGTTCCCTCGTCTCAAAGTCCATAGGTTATTTGAATGGGTTTATGGTTACATGACTGAAATAAGGTCTGTGGTTAACACGAGCTTAAGAGACTGAAACATTTTGTTCTATCACGTAAAATACGTCCCTCGTGAACTTTGAAGCTTCTATGTGGCTTCAAAAATGCGGTTGCTAACAAGAGGTTGAATGAGACTACAGGACGTCATCACGCCGAACATGCCTCTACAGTCTGGTTATGATGGCGACGTTGGGTCATGTGACCGTAGTGTAGTTAGTTTATAGCTTAACGTTAGCTTTTTACCTCTGGTGATTGCATTTAGGCTTCAATAATCATGAAAATGGTGAACATTTGTTTGCCACAAGAGCTTATTTTCAGCAATGACCCAAAATCCAATTTAAAAATCCCATTGGCTTTTTGACGGGGGAACCAGTGCGATGCTCACTTCAGCGTCAGCCTACAGAAAAACATCATGCCTGGGGTACTTTATTAAAGCTTGGAACTCTCAGCATATTGTTAATCAAGTGGTCTAACCGAACACTACACTTCTGCACATCTCCTCAGCTCTGTTTTCAGGCTTTTGAAAATCTAGCTAGTGACCGAAGACCTTGGCCAATCACAGGTCATTTCAGAAAGAAGGCATTCTTATTGGCTGTTCTACAAATGCAGGTGCATGTGCACGTCCCGTCAGGTGAAAGTCTGATTCAATGGCAAAGAATCCTGCACAGGAAGTTACTTTTCCTGCACTGGCAACAACTGGCTACACTGCAAAGCAACCAAAAAAAAGGAAGACAGACTTCTCAAAAACATAGTCTGACAATAAACAAAGTAAAACACGTGCCAATATCGGAAAAGCTTTTAAGAGATGGAGAGAAAATGTTGCAAATAGTTTAACCCCCTGCCAACCAGAACTAAAAGCTCATAGCTGCGGCTTCGAGTTCATGTAGCTAATATCAGCAGGAGCCTTCAATCATAGCGTGTCCTCGCCTCACCCCCACCACTACAGACCACATTGCCCCATGTGTGACAACTAAAGACATCTAATTATGGGGCGGCTGTGGCTCAGGAGGTAGAGCGGATCGTCCACTAATCTGGAGATCGACAAGTTGATCCCTGGCTCCTCCAGTCTGCATGTAGAAATATCCTTGGGCAAGATACTGAACCCCAAATTGCTCTCGACGGCTGTTTCATCAGTGTGTGAGTGTGTTTAAACTGAGTAGCAGGTGGCACTTTTGTGTGTGTGAAAGGCTTTGAGTAGTCAGAAGACTAGAAAGGTGCTAAACAAGTACAAGTCCTTTTACCATTTCCCATAACCCTTTTCACATATCATGAATATTGAGACGTATCCTAACCCCATTTATACAGAGATGTTACATGCATTTCGTACTTTATACATATCCATATCCAGGAGAGAGGGCCGCTGTGGCAACATAACAGATTGTGTCATTACATGTGACGCTGATCTTTTCACAGAGGGCTTGATCAAAGTGTAGATGTTGACAGCTTCCGGCTTTGTGGTCAGAAAAGCAAAGTTAAAAAACTGCAAGACAGAAAAATCCTGCCTTAATCTCCTCCCTGAGCTTGACTAATACATTGCTATGTTGCTGGTGCAAAGGTGGATGGTTTATTATCTGCAGGCTTCGCAAAAATGTTCATCAGCTGTGTTTTGCCTTGATTTTTTGACATTTGTGCAGACACTGTAAATTCAACGCTCTAAAAATGTTTTGGGGGCGAAGGAGAGAGAAGCTTTAATCTCAGCACTGACAAGGTGTATTAAAAGTGTGAAGTAACATCGAGGGAAAACTTTTTTTACTCCGCTTTGTCTTTGTTAGGCAGTAAAGTCCTGGGAGCGTCTTGCTGCCCAACATAAGCTTCACAACTTATCACTCAGTGGGGGAAAAGCCGAGGAGCTAAAACCAAGGAGGTGTTGCACTTGCAGCATGGTAACTACGTTCTGCAGGATGTGCTGCAATTTAGCTTCTGACAAATCACAACACTGAGGACAAGGGACGTGTTAATCATTTTTAAGATAAAATACATTGGCTGTGGGTTACCTTGGTGTTTCATAACAAGGACCTGCACTAAAACTGGGGTATTAAATCAAAGTCAGCACACCTTTGACTTTCTTTAGTTAGAAAAGAGGCAGAGAGAATGCACAACAAACTGACAATATATAAATACATCTTCTCTTATTTTTGTTTGTATCCATAGTTTGTTCTTATTTTGTTAGTACCCACTGATTTCTGGGGTCACCAATGTTTTTTTATTCTCGCTCTTCTCTTGGGTAAGAGGAAATTGTGATCCAAAAAAACTCAGCTCATTTCCACAGTTCAAACATTGTTTGTCTAATGCCAAGAAACACAAGTTTTATATTCAAGGAACATAAAAAACACAATCAAATTTACATTAATGACTTTAGTTGTTCTTTTATCTCAGACATGTAAGGATGTTACAAACCTTACAATACATTATTATATGTTTTAGAGCAGTGGTTCCCAACTGGTGGGTCGTGGTCCGAAAGTGGGTCGCGGGGTCCGTTCTGAATGGACAGCAAGTGACTGGCAAATGTGTCAAGTTTGTACAAAACACATTTTATTTTTAAGTACAGCAAATTTCTGGCACAGAGCTTTTATTTTGACGTGCTGTTTCCCGCTGTAGAGTATGTGACTAACGAACAGTGACTTCACAGAGACAACGAACTAGCTGAGTGACATGGCAAAACACGAGTATTCACTGAAAAGCGTGTGGACCTTGAACTAATGACTAAGGACAAATCTGGATCCTGTGACTGGACCAGTTGGGAACCACTGTTTTAGAGTAATTAAAATGACTGGATTATAAAATTTGTGGGTTTAAGAAATACCACTATACGTTGTTGACTGATCCAAATTACTGAAATTTCAGTCCACTGTGCGTCCCGACCGGTGGTCGAGTGTTAAACTTACTCAAAGTACTACACTTAGTGCAAACCTGACGTACTTTTACTTGAGTATTTTTATCTAATGCGACTTTCTACTTCTACTTCACGACACTGCAAATGGAAATACTTGAATATTTGATAACTTCAATTACTAGTTACAGACCATCTAAAAATATACAAGTGCAGCTGAAATGATCAGTGGACCCATTACAAAATTAATTTGCAACCATTTTGATAATCGTTCGTCATTTTTCATACAAACACATTTCATGGTTCCAGCCTCTCAAATGTGAAATCTGCTGCTTTTTCTTTTGATTATTTTAAATATTTTGATTTGTTAAATTGATTTAAATTTTCTGCATTGAGTAATTTGATTTTTAATACTAAAAAACATTTAGATTTTTCTGACTGTCCTTACATACTTTTAATTAAGTAACATTTTATTGCAGGACTTTTACTAGTAACAGAGTATTTGGACAGTGTGGTATTAGTAGTTTTACTTCAGTAAAGGATCTGACTACTTCCTCCACCACAGCTGCTACTGACATGTCATTTACAGCTTCACAAATGTTTCCTGTAACACCAGCACTGATGATCAGGAAAATCATGTTTACTTTAAGTTTATTAACAGTATGCTGACTTTACTACTGCATGAGTTCCTCTTCTTACAGACATTTTGGTGGCATCTCATTAGTTCTTGGGCATGTGCCGGAGTATTTGCACACGACACTAAACCTGCCCTTATATAGTGTTTAGGGCACTTCACCTATGCTTAAAGGTTACTTATAATCAAATGGGATTCATCATTTAGCACACATGGGTAAGAGCAGATTTGAATGGTTAAGAATGTTTGGTGCATCTGGAGTTAACTTCTCTTATTTTTTCTCTTAAGCTAAGATAAATTTAAGAGAGTGTTGCTGCATGAGGCCCAGTGTCACATAAATATAAAGATGTAACCGACTGATAAAGGAGCCATGTTGTATATGGTTACCAGAAATTTAAACATATTCAGTTGCTGAATGGAAAGTTGGCTATCCTTGCTGAGGACCAGTTGACAACATTAAAAACAAGTTCATGTACAGGACAGGCCACATTTCCGTCTCACAGCTGAGGGACTTGTGTTTTATACTTACATATGCGTTGGCATATTCAATTTTGGTTCCCTTTAGTTCAGCTTTGAACTGAGTGAAAAACAGGTAGGACTTCCCCTGAGGCCTGGCGGGGATAAAAGGGAAATATTTGTTACCAACATTAAGTCATTTGCATAAATTCATTCGCTTATTAAGTCAGTGCAGGACGTGAATACATTTCAAGTGCAAGATTAGAAACTTTGTTGTATTGTCTCTGCGCTCTACTGGGGCTGTCACGATTAACTACAGTCAAAGAGTGACTCAGAGGAGAGACACAGACGAGACAAAATTTCACTGAGGACACACAGAACATCAGGGTCACTGAGCTGAGGAAGCGTCTCGCCTCAGTGTGTATGTGTATGTGTGTGTGTGTGTGTGTGTGTGTCTCACCTCCACACAGAGCAGGAAAACAGCCTGTCGTCGTCACTCAGACCCACGCTCATCAGCCATTGCTGTTGCAGAGGAATATTTATGCATACAACTGCTGTAACCAAATCAATAAACTGATGCTTGATACTGACAGCAAGAGACACACACTCACCTCGTTGGTTCCCCCTTGTGAAGCATAAGTGAATGAGCATTCATACTCCCTCTGAAATTAAGAGAGCGAAACATGGTGCATCATTAAACCTGCATATTATTTTTATTATTGAGCTTTACATGCTATTAATTTACACCTTCCATCAATCTACAAACTACTGATTATCTCTGTCAAATGTGCATTTCAGAAACAGGAGTGTGTGCATCAGTTTTTATCAAGCACACACACAAAAGCTTTCATCCCCGCAGCCTCACAAAGGCAAAGATTAGCTTTCTTGTCTATGGTTCATGTCATTATGAATTCAAAGGTCTGTTCTGGCTGCTACTGTGATAACAGTGTTTTGGAGACATCAATTCTCTCCTCAGGTAAAGACGTTTCTCACAGCAAACGCTTTGACATGCTCTACAGGAAAATGTTACACCTGATATTGTGTGTGAGGAGTGAATATTTAAGTTAGGGCAGAGATATCACATCATGATGAAACGATTTCTGTTGTCCAAAGTGATGACTTTTACAAAACTGTAACTACATGTGATTTTGCAGACATTTACCATACTGTTAGTTAGTTAGTTAGTTAGTTAGTTAGTTAGTTATTTGAAACACCTAGACAGTGTGGCTTGGACACATCATCAGTGATGAACCCAGGGTCATTGGGTGTTTTGGCTCTTAGATCATCAGACACCCTCACCTGGGCGACTCAGCCGGGGGTGATCAGTCCCCGGCTTGTTTCCAAACAGCGCGCTACACCATGGATCTGCCCTCTTGATCCACAGCCACCTTGAGGCCTTTTCAGCAGCCTCACTGATGCTTCCGGTGGCTTTCCTCTCCTGCAACACTCTGATGACAAGGGACCTGAGTGTCCGGTGCACTGCAATGAATATCTATATTGTCTAATGTGCTTTTTAGAGGAAAATTTTATGATAATGGTTAATGGGGGCAGCAGTAGCTCAGTCCACAGGGACTTGGGTTGGGAGGGTCGCCTGTTCAAGTCCCCGTCCGGACCAAATATGGAGCATGGACTGGTAGCTGGAGAGGTGCCAGATCACTTGAGCAAGGCATCGAACCCCCCAACCGCTCGGGGCGCCTGACCAAGGCAGCCCCCTCACTCTGACATCTCTCCACTTTGTGCATGAATAGGTCCTGTTTGTGCATGTGTGTGTCTTTCGGACCTGTGTGTAATTGACAATGACAACAAAAAACTTTTATAGTGTGAGTCTGGGATGCTGGCTTGTCAGTTTTGCCCAGTTGGAGCTCATTTGATTAACAAATGTGCTTTTACAATATACGCTGCTGCAATATACTGTGTCAATGCAGTATATATTTGATATATTCATACTAGTGTTAAAACATGGCAACAGTTATCATACTGTATATAAGTGAGGGTAAAAGGAGAAAAGGGAGACAATTTCTACACAGTTTTATGGATTTGGATATGTAGTGTGGTCTCATGAAGCCAAAACATACAAATGTTAATTAATGGTAGTGTTTTAAATTTATCACACCAGTGTTTAATTGATGCTCTGTTATTCATATGACAGTTATGTGTAGCATTTTGGTGGAAACAATCAGTTTATCAGAGGAGAGAACATGGTTTTAGGTGCAATGTTTCATTTTGCAAGAGATTTGTGGAGTTTTGACAAAATGGTTAACTCTTTCCAGTTTTGCATTTTTAGTACTGAGCTGTAGTTTCAGGAAATATGTTTAAACAATTGGGGAAAACTGCAGTAAAACCTGCTTTTCCTGCTTTATCAGGTCAGTGTCTGCTGTGAAAAAATGCCTACAGTGATGGACATTTGTTATTATTTTAGCCTGTTTTAACAGCAAATTACGAAGCAATTAATTCATACATAAAAATAATATTTGACAATAAAATAAAAGCAATTAGTTGCAGTCTTTATGTCCGGATATTGTATTAAAACTTCACTTTCAAACTACACACAAAAGAAGCACTGCACATTCATCAAACCTGTCAGCCAATCAAAGGAGCCATTGTGTCACTGAGGCAGCGACGTGTCAGCCTCTCACAGGCTGTGTCGTCATCACGCCGCGACTGTAGTTTTTCCGTGTATGTCATTTTAAATAGCAAACATAGCAAATGTGACACACTATAATGAGATAAACACATACTACACACACAATATAATTCGTGTTATATTTAATTCTGTTATTAATCTGTCAAATACTTAATGAGCGATTAAAACGGAGCGAATTACGATAATCTACAGGGTGAACTAGCTTACATTCAAACCGAGTTAAACTTGCACGTTCATATTTAGCCTCACTGCAGCTTGGTGTCTGGTTGCAGTTTAAAAACGTTAGCTAGCTGTGTGAAATAAAGACAGTAACGTTACTTTATTCAGTCACTTACAATCGCCTCGGTGAAAGTATGCACCACTCCTCCCGGTTTAACGTTGAACTCCACCGTCTTGGTCCGATCAGGAGAAGCATCGACCGGGACTAACGAAGCAGTCAACGCGAACACGAGCAGAAACGCCAGACTGACAGCGGAGAAGTTATTTTGGGTGGCCATCTCTTCCTCCTCCTTTAGATGTGTAGTGGTGTGTCGCTGTGAGTGGCTCCCCGGGTTACCAGGTATCCCGTCGACTGTGGATGACGTCACACCAGGCGTCACACACCAAACCAAGGAAACAAAATATGGCAAAATAAGTAAAACATGACAAACATAAAAAAGACGATTCCCTTCACTTAATGGTAATAAAAAAAATACAGTCTTTATTGATATAGTTTATAGATTAACTTCTCTTAATACTGACGAATTAAAGTATGAGTTCAGAATTCATTGTAACGTTACCATTCATGGCCACACGATGTCGCCCTCGTTCATACAACATTCATTTTTAATGAAGCACAGCAGTAGAGACTTATGTGAAGTAGATATCATGCCTAATCTCAGATGTTTATCCAAAAAAGACAAACAATACTAGGGAATATAAAATACACCACAGAGTTAGATTATATTCTATCATACCAATGCATCTTCAGATATTTTAATTATGGCTCTGCTACTGTACTTCATGGTGAAAATGACTGAAAGAGAATTTCATGTAGGTCCCAATACATCATGAAAATGTGGCAATGACATGTGAAGGTGAAATCCTCCAGAGCAAAGCTAGTAAGTGGATCTTGATCTGAGATTGTTTAGTCAAATTAAGTCATATTACTTTTTTTTTTTTTTTAAAGAATCCTCTATAGGGAATGTAGGGGGGAAAAATTCAGAAGTAAAAAATGACATCTTCCACATATTATTGTGAATTGAATATCCCTAGAGGTCTCTGGGAGGGATCATCACAACATTGTCCCTTTATAGATAATAACAAAAGGCTACTACAAGTAATTGTAGTGTGTATGAATATTTAGAATATATAAACATACAAAAAATTATGCACAAAAAGGTAAAAAAAAGAAAAATGCTTAACAAACCATTAAAAATAATTACAAGAATACAAAAAACAGGCTAGTTAGGTGGCAAAGTCTGTATTAAGTGTAAAATAATTACACCAACAATATAATGCTATCAAAGTGTTGCTTTGTACAAGATGGAAAACTCTCTCTCACATACAAACACACCTCTGTTTAGTTATGTGTATGTCTCTTTTTACTGCCTGGCTGCAGCCCAGGATGTCATACACAGGTGTAAAGGGGAAAGGGTGGAGTACACATCATAGGCAGGTCCAGTTGCCTACGATATAGCACTTATGATGACCATGACCTGGATGACTGAGAATCTTCACCAAAATAGAGTACACATCTCTCTTTCATGAATTCAGGTGTTGCATGAGCATGTCATTGACGTTTCTTGTCTCATAACAAAGTCTCGTGTCAGCTTATTTCAATCATTCTTTACTGCAACATGTGGTTTACATGGAAACAGATAAATGGAGGATTTTTCCCCCAAAGATCTACATACTGTCCTTGATGTCTGGGTCTTCCACAAAGTATTGCAGTTTGAGGATTAAATAAGCTTTTTTATCAATTTATAGTCACAGCTGTTAGACTGTTATTATTCTAGGCTGCCTATGGGGTATAAGATACTGTGACAGGAATGGATGATGTGGTGCAGAATATAAGAAAAGATAACTGTTTTGTTTTTCCTATCAAGGCACATTTGGACCAGAATTGCAATCAACTTCATTTGCCAAGCATGTTGACACATAACACTAAATAAGACATGCAGACAAACATTTAGCTATTACTTAAAGGTGGGTGGAAAAATAAATATAAATGTACATAAAAACAGCTGGATAGCAAAAGTTCATTATGTTTTTTACAGGTAATATTGTTTATTAAAATTGTAGGTTTGAGGCCTGGTTTGCACTGTACTGTATGAATAGTGGAAGAGTGCACTACAAAGAACATTGGAATTAAGATTGCGTGGATTGGTGACTAAAAATGAACAATAAAAGAAGATTATGTAGATGTCATTGAACATTTAGTATCATAGGTTATGTATGCACAGTAAGATTTGATGTTTTATTGCATGCATATTAATTCCAAACTATAATTGGCAAAACGATTTCAGTGGATTTAACTGAAAGTGGCTCCTGCTGCTGTTTTGACTCAACATGTCAAAGACAAGTTGGAAAAAAACATAAAGAAATGCCTCAACAACTGAGAGGAAAATATCTTTGGCAATTCCTTTGAAGCATTTAAACTACACTTTAAATGAGCACTATTAAAGTTCAAGGCTTTGCATCATCTGATCTGTGAAATAACACTGTGATAGACTTTAAAAGGATAAGACACTCTGATTATTTGCCACTTAAATTCAGGTCTGCCAAGGGAATATTTCTGCAAAAACTAGACAGCAAGCCTGCTAAAACACATATTCCCATGTTCTCTGTGCCAAATACTGTACATGCACATTCCTGTCTTTTTCACAGTAGAGCATTTTGTGTTACAGGAGACAGACACAGTCTCATGTCTGCTCCTACATGTCTGCATGCATGTGTATGTGTGTTTTTATATGTCTCTGGAGCCCTAAAACGTCGCCCTCGTGACAGATGAACAGATGTTTGGTATGAGAGGAGACATCTTAACGTTGTCTGACACTCATGTGTAAAACCCGTAAAACAATAGCAGCATTTAGAGGCACATTCAGACCTAAAATAAGCGGAGGGTTTCAGCTGAATAGCCTGTCCGCCCTCTTCACCCTTCTCCTCACCCTCCTCCTCTGTTTGCAGCCTCATCCGGACCACCTCCCTGCCCAATCCCACTTCCCAGCCCAAAAATAATACAATAACAGGATTAATAACAGCATGCACTCACTCAGACGGCCTGTTGAGTGTTTGGATATTTACACAGCAGCTCCGGGGAAGAAAAGTACAGGGGTCATTAGGCACATTCTTCTATTTCAAAAGCTATTAAATCTGTAATGATGTGTAAATGGTCAGACTCAGGGAGTCCTCGTCCTGCCCAGGTAAACATTGTTTCCTTCTTTCAGGATGTCAGACACTCAGCTGCGTAACACCAGGAGGAGAGCAAAAATATTCAAAACAAACAGCTTCTAGTCTTTGCTATAAACAAACAATCCCCTACAAAGGTAAACATACAGACCACATATCCAGACAGAGAAACACAAGTTGGCGTCAAGTTATCTCACTAATGATGGGAGCTCACACTGCAGACTTTACACACACAGCGGGAGGCGTTCAAATCAACACTTCAGTGTGTCAGTGGTTGTTTATGTGCAGATTTATACTTCATTTAGCACTTCAGTAGTTCTGAACAGCTGTTACTGAGCTGACTCGGCTCTGTTGATACCACTGTTACTTTGTATGATTCATAGTTGGATACTTGTTATATATCATTATTTATCCTCTCACGGAGCTGACGTGTGACTTCACACTTGTCTAAATGTGTTAAATGAATTCTGAAGGATGTTTATTTATACAAACACTGGCATCATGGGGTTGATTATCACGCTGTCAGAGTTAAGAGAGATTTATTTCCTCAATCCCACAAACCAGAGGTGGGAGTCATTGTTCTGCAAGTCACAAGTAAAGTCAAGTCCCAAGTTAAGTGTCAAGTCCTAAACCAGTCACAATGCAGTCTTCACTATGTGTAATGTCATTTTAACAACAGAGTAATGATGTATAACTAAACAAAAATCATGAATGCTTTTAAAATTATGTATTGATTTGTTAAAACAAGTGCCATTGGACTTAATCTTAAAAATTAGTGCTGATATTTCACTTTCATAACATAAAGCACTATTAACCAGCACCACAACAAAATTAATTTTGTGTTTCTGTCCTGTCTTGTTGTATTCAACGTATCTCATTTTGGAAAAATGTCTGTAACTTTCTCTTCCCAAATTTGTAAGACATTTCCTGTAATAGTATTCTTCTTTTAAAGTGATTTTGTAGATTGTTGCATGTTTTATGTTAATTGTTTTAATATATTAAAACAATAAAATAAAATAAAATAAAATAAAATAAAATAAAATTAAATTAAATTAAATTCCATTACTTATCCCAAAGGAAACTCTTGTGCCAGAGAATGCTTCAAATTACAGTTACACTAAGTACAGTAACCACAGTTTAACGTTCACAACCAGTACCAACCAGAACAACCAGTGGGTTCCCTGGGTCAGGGTCACTCACTGGGTCCAGTTTTATAACAACAGAGTATTTAATATCTGGTAAAATATACAAGACAGAGATGTTCTCAAGGAGCAAAGGCAAAAATGAGTGCTTAATAGACTAACAATAGGAGAAAGATTAGTACAAGAGTGACTAAAAATGAACCAAAATGGTGAAACATACTTTTAAATGTTTGTGCCTGGGGGAAGTGTTAAGAGTTTTCAAGTCAAAGTTTTATGTCAGCGTGAAGTCATGAGTTGTTGGTGTTGAAGTTCAAGTTGACTTGCAAGTGTTTTTTGATTTTATCAGGTCAAGTTTAAAGTCATAAAATCTGGGACCCAAGTCCACACCTTTTCCACAGACTCTTCAGCAGGTCTGTCACAATGAACGCATACTATGTGCACAAGCTTTGTTCAAACCCACAAATTTTTAATTCTTGTCACCAGGTCAACAAATGCTTGACTCAAAGGATAATTTCGGATGATTTAATGCAAAAAATAAACCTCTGAGATTAGAAAGTTAAACTTAGATTTGGAGCAAAAAGAAAGGAAATATCAAAAGCATGAAGGTTAATGGGGTCAGTGTTGACAGTTTTGCAGTTTGTGTCTGTCCGAGGAACAAACTGACTTCCCTCCAGTGTCACTGCAGTCTCGCCTGTTGGCTCTGACACTTGTTGACCAGGAGTCTCAGACAGTCAGGCCTCTGGGCACAACCTCACAGACCTTCAGCCCGTGATAAGAATGGCTTATAGCCGCAGTGCTGCTGATGCCAGCAGTTTGCAGTCAGGTTTTCCTGGCTGTCTGCGGAACTGTGGAATTTCTCTCCTCCTCGCCATTTCCAGCAGGGGCAGGCAGGGGCGACCGGCAGCTCTGCCCATCCTGCACGCCCTGCAGGCTTAGCACGTCGGCCTGCCCTAAGCAAACAGCACCTGGAGTGGCGGTGGAGGAGGCTCTGCCCTGACCCTCTGTCACACTCAAATTCACATCAGTGGATCACCTCGACAGCTCTCTGACCAAAGATGGTGTCGGCCTCACAGAGAGGCCAAGTTTGGGTAAGAGGATGAGTGAAATCTGGGGTTATGAAACAGGTTTAAAACCAGTGATGTGGACATAAGAGGCAAGATTTTTCAAATCTTTAATACTTTTTGACCTCTGTATCCTTTATCGATACAGTTGTGAAAAATCAAGAAGTGCGGTTACAAAAGGCTACTGAAGTAGTTTTAACAGATATA